GCGAGGTCTTCATCCTGGGTCGCTTCCTGACAATACCCAGGCCCGTGGAGGGCCGCGGAAGCCCGAGAGCGGAGAAAAACCGGAGGCCCCGTTTCACTCCTCCTCCTCCTCCTCCTCCTCCTCCTCCTCCTCCTCCTTCTCCTCCTCCTCCTCCTCCTCCTCCTCCTCCTAGCTCCTCCTCCTCCTCCTCCTCCTCCTCCTCATTATCATCATCATCATCCTCATCCTCTTCGTCATCGTCCTCCTCCTCCTCAGCCTCATCGTCGTCGTCTTCTTCTTACTAGTATTAGTATTATTATTATTATTATTATTATTATTATTATTATTATTATTATTATTATTATTATTATTATTATTAGTAGTAGTAGTAGTCCCCATTGTTCTTATTAGTATGCTTCGTCTGTTTATTATTATTATTAGTATTCTGCTTATGATTATTCTTATTATTATTCTTAATATTCGTCGTCTTATGATTCATCTTCTTCGCCGCCTTCTTAATATTAGTTGTAGTACTCTTAGCCTTCGTACTAGTAGTATTATTATTGGTATTATTCGTCTTATTATTCGTAGTATGATTATTGCTCGGCTTCTTCGCCTTCATAGTATTATTAGTATTGTTATTATTATTATTAGTATTAGCATTAGTATTGTTATTGTTATTAGTATTATTATTATTAGTATTAGTAGTATTAGTATTATTAATATTAGTATTATTATTATTATTGTTAGCATTGGTATTGTTAGTATTATTATTAGTAGTAATATTAGTAGTATTATTATGATTATTAGTATTATTATTATAAGTATTATTATTAGTATTATTATTAGTAGTATTATTATTATTTATTGTTATTATTATTGGTATGATTGTTCGTATTCTTCTTATTCGTATTATCATTATTAGTATTATTATTATTATTATTATTATTATTATTATTATTATTATTATTATTATTATTCCTCTTATTCCTCTTCCTCCTCCTCCTCATCCTCCTCCTCCTCCGCCTCCGCCTCTCCTCTCCTCTCCTCCTCCTCCTCCTACCTCCTCCTCTCCACGCCCTCCTCCTCCGCCTCGCCTCCGCCTTCGCCTCCGCCTCCCGCCTCCGCCTCCGCCTCCTCCTCCTCCTCCTCCTCCTCTCCTTCCTCCCTCCTCCTCCACCTCCTGCCGGACCTCCGCCGTCCGGCCGCCTCCGCCTCCGCCTCCGCCTCCGCCTCCGCCCCCGCCGTCCGCCTCCGCCTCCGCCTCCGCGCCTCCGCCTCCGCCTGGCCTCCTCCGGCTCCGCTACGCCTCCGCCTCCGCCTCCGCCGTCCGCCTCCGCCTCGCCTCCGCCTCCGCCTCCGTCCTCCCAGCCCCTCCGCCTCCGCATCCGCTCCGCTCCGCGTCCGCCTCCGCCTCCGCCTCCGCCTCCGGGCTCCGCCTCCGCCTCCGCCTCCGCCTCCGCCTCCGCCTCCGCCTCCCGCCTCCGCCTCCGCCTCGCCTCCGGCCTCCGCCTCGCTGCCTTCCCGCCTCCGCCCGCCTCCGCCTCCGCCTCCGCCTCCGCCTCCGCCTCCGGGCTCCGCCTCCGCTCCGCCGCCGCCCTCCTCTCTTCCTCCCTCCTCCTCCTCCTCCTCCTCCTCCTCCCCTCATCCTCCTCCTCCTCCTCTTCTCCTCCTCCTCCTCCTCCTCCCCTCCTCCTCGCGCCTCCTCCTCCGTCGCGTGCATCCTCCGCCTCCGCCTCCGCCTCCGCCTCCGCCTCCGCCTCCGCCTCCGCCTCCGCCTCCTCCTCCTCCTCCTCCTCCTCCTCTTCCTCCCCCTCCTCCTCCTCCTATTATTCTTATTATTCTTCTTATTATTCGTATTATTCTTCTTCTGCTTCTTCTTCTTCTTCGTCTTCTTCTTATTCTTCTTATTATTATTATTCTTATTATTATTCTTCTTATTCTTCTTCTTATTATTATTATGTTATGCTTCTTCTTATTCTTATTCTTCTTTTTCTTCTTCTTATTCTTAGTAGTAGTATTATTGTTCTTATTATGCGTCTTCTTCTTCGTCTTCTTCTTATTAGTCTTCTTATTATTCTTCTTATTCTTATTATTATTAGTATGATTCGTATTATTCTGCTTCTTCTTCTTATTATTAGTCTTATTCGTCGTATTATTAGTATTCGTCTTCTTATTCGTCTTATTCTTCTTCTTATTAGTTATTATTATTATTATTATTATTCTTATTCTTCTTCTTCGTCTTCATAGTATTCTTCTTATTCTTCTTATTCTTCTTAGTCTTCTTATTATTACTCTTCTTCTTCTTCTTCTTATTAGTCTTCTTATTAGTCTTAGTATTCTTCTTGTTAGTCGTCTTCTTCGTCTTATTCTTCTTATCTTTATTATTATTATTATTAATCGGCTTCTTATTATTCTTCTGATTATTCTTGTTATTCTTCTTATTATTAATACTAGTATTCTTCTTATTAGTATTATTCTTATTCGTCTTCGTATGCTTCTTCTTATTCTTCTTATTCGTCTTCTTCTTAGTATTATTATTCTTTTTCGTCTTATTATTCTTCTTCTTCTTCTTATTATGCTTATTCGTCTGCTTCTTCTTCTTCTTCTGCTTCTTATTATTATTATTATTCGTCTTCTTCGTCTTCTTCTTCTTCTGCTTATTCTTCTTCTTCCTCCTCCTCCTCCTCCTCCTCCTCCTCCACCTCCTCCACCTCCTCCTCCCGTCCTCCTACCTCCTATCCTCCCCCCACCTCCTCCTCCTCCTCCTCCTCCTCCTCCTCCTAGCCTCCTCCTCCTCCTCCTCCCCTCCTCCCCTCCTCCTCTCCCCTCCTCCTCTCATTATTATTATTCTTCTTCTCTTCCTCCCCCTCCTCCTCCTCCCCTGCTACTCCTCCTCCTCCTCCTCATCCTCCTTCCTCCTCTCCCCTCCTCCTCCTCCTCCTCCTCCTCCTCCTCCTCCTCCTCCTCCTCCCCCCCCTCCTCCTCCACCTCCTTTTCCCTCCTCCCCTCCTCCTCCTCCTCCTCCTCCCTCCTCCTCACTCCTCCTCCTCCTCCTCCTCCTCCTCCTCCTCCTCCTCCACCTCCTCCTCCTCCTCCTCCCCCTCCTCCTCCTCCTCCTCCCCCCCCCCCCTACACTCCCCTCCCATCCACCTCACCTCCTCCCTCCTCCTCCTCGCTCCTCCACCTCCACCTCCCCCTCCTCCTCCACCTCCTCCTCCTCCTCCTCCTCCTCACTCCTCCTCCGCCTCCTCCTCCTCCTCCTCCTCCTCCCCTCCTCCATCTCCTCCTCCTCCCTCCTCCTCCCCCCCCCCTACCCCCTCCGCTCCTCCTCCTCCTCCCTCCTCCTCCTCCTACTCCTGCTCCTCCTCCTCCTCCTCCTCCTCCTCCTCCTCCACTCCTCCTCCTCCTCCTTCCACCTCCTCCTCCTCCCCCTCCTCCCCCCTCCTCCCCTCCCTCCTCCTCCCCTCCTCTCCCCTCCCCCCACCTCCTCCTCCTCCTCCTCCTCCTCCTCCTCCTCCACACTACTCCTCCTCCTCCTCCTCCTCCTCCTCCTCCCCTCCTCCTCCTCCTCCTCCTCCTCCTCCTCCTCCTCTCCTCCTCCTACTCCTCCTCCTCCTCCTCCTCCTCCTCCTCCTCCTCCCTCCTCCTACTCCTCCTCCTCATCCTCGTCCTCCTCCTCCTCCTCCTCCTCCTCCTCCTCCTCCTCCTCCTCCTCCTCCTCCTCCCCGATCGCTCGCCGCCGACCCGTGGCGAGCCGCGCCCTCCGCCCGACGAGCTGCCCGCCGGCCGCGCGGCGCTCCGCCCGCGGCCCTCGTGCCGTATTTGGCCCCTCCGCCGCGCCTGCCCGTCGGGGGGCGGCGCATCACGGGAGGGCACGTACCACCCCGGCACCGGGCGGGGGCGCACGAGCTTGGGGTCGGCCCTCCTGAGGGGCAACGATCAGGGGGGACTGGCACCCAGGCGTGCTCGCGTCGTGAGACAGGTCCGGGCGCGAGGTTCTTGCCAGTTTTCGGCCTCTATGGGGGGCCCTCGCCGGGCCTCGGGACCGTCAAAAAACGACTCGGGATGGAAAACCGGACCCAGGGAAAGGGTCGGGACTTCCAGGGACGCCGTCCTGAAAAAATCATGACGGCGCATGTCTGGGCATAGGGGGGATGCATCGACCTGGAATCGGTGATGCATCGCCGCTGGATCGGCGATGGGCATCCGATAGTGAGTCCGCACCTTCCTGGGCAGATTGGGGCTATCGGGCCCCTATCGGCGATCAATGGGCGATTAGGGGTCGATGCATCCCCCTCTAGGCCTAGCCCCCTCTATCATTGCCCCCGACCTCCTCTGGCGACTCCGACCCAGACCCCCGTCGGGTCACGAAAAATCATGACGGGAAGTGTTTCCCTGCCTTCGGGGCGTATTATCATGACTGGAAGAAGTCATGGCGGGAAGTATGACCGTGACGGCTGGTTTTCCCACATTTTGTCATCAAATAACATACCGGGCCTCGGGGCCGTCAGAAAACGACTCAGGATGAAAAGCCGGTCCCAGAGAAAGGGTCGAGACCTCTGGGAAGCGACGTTGTGACAAAAATGATGACGTCGGGGACCTGGGAAAAGTATGGCTTGCAAAGGTCGGGCGGGTGGTAGCGGGGCGTGAACTAAATGGGGGGTGAAGAAAACCCTGAGATCCTGGCGTTGCAATTTTTCCACACCGGGCGTTTTAACCAAACTTCGGGCCCTGGGACCCTCACAGATCGATGCGGTTTGAAAAAAATATGCAGAAAGGTAAGGTCCAGGGCTCCGGGCGTGACGTTTCGCGAACCTAAAGGGGTCCTTCCCCCATTCAGGTCACCCCGCGATGCCACCAGCCCGAGAAGGGTGTGGTCTGCAACGGGCACCCTGGGGGGTCCCCCTGGGAGGCGGGCGGGGACCTCGACAGAGTTCTCCGCCGCGCCCCCTGGGCCCCAACGGCGCCGATCGCAAACCTCACCCTGTCGTAGCCACACCCTTGGCAGTCGCCGGCTCCTCTTGACCACCGACGCGGTGTGCTGCACACTGTCCATTGGATGGGAGCTCAGGTCCTTGCGCATTCGGCCATGGACCCTTGTGGCCTCGGTGGGCACTGGAAACGGCAAGGCCAGCTTCTTGCAGGCTCCAGTTTGCCATTTCTGCTGCCGGATGCGGGGCCGTTGGTCTCCGGGCTCAGGCGCAGATTGTTCTCCGCTTCAGGTTCTGGCTCCAATATGGGAATCGGTTCCATCCGTTTCTGGGGCATGTTTTTCAGTGTCACGTTCCCCCAGAGATCCGATGTCGTGATTCTTTCAATGCGCGGTCCCCCGAAGTCTCGACCCATTCCCCAGGACCAGTCTTTCATCCTAAGTCGTTTCTTGACGGTCCCGGGGCCCGGCGAGGGCCCCTAGAGGCCGAAAACCGAGAAAAACTTCCGTCTTGATTTTTTCAATGCGTTGGATCTCTGGGCCCGAAACAGCTTTTTGAAAACGACCAAGAAACAGACCTGCCGGTTCCGGGGCCCACTCGGCTTGCCCTCGCTTCTCGCCAGGCTTCGGCGGACTCCGGCGGCATCTGGCGGTCTCCAGCGGTCTGCAGGGCACGAAAAAACTGAGCGGCTGCGGTCAACAAGGGGCCATGCTCGAACACCCATGGGGTCCAAGGACTGGTCCGGGTTCTTCTTGACGACGACACACTCGAGCTCCTGGTTGTGCGTGACAGAAGTGTAATATGCAGGCATAGTGATGTTGCCGTCCTCCTTCCACACGTTGAAGGCCCCCCATGCCTCCCGCACGCACTTCGGAGAGATCTTGCCCCAGCGCCCTGGAGGAAGAGTCTCAAGCTTACACGTCCGCAACTGCACCGTCGTCGGGGTAGTTGTGTGCCAATCCCCGCGAGGGCTAAACCTATGCACGGGTGCTGGCCAAAATTCTGGTCGATGTCCTCCACTGTTGGTTGGCGACGAGACTGGACCAGGGTTGAAGTGAGAGGGGGCCTTCTCAGAAGGCGGTGCGGTTTCTCAGAAGCCCTTCGGCCTTCTGAGAAGCCGTCCCCGTCTCCGGAGAAGGCGGCGGGGCTTCTTAGCAGCTCTCTGGCCTTCTGCAAGAGTGTTTTGCACCTTCGGAGAAGGCCTCGAAAACCATGCAGAAGGTCGGGGCCTTCCGAGCCGTCCGAGAAGTCCCACCCCCCCCCTGCCTTCCCCCGAGGCTCGCCGCCGAATGCGGTCGGCGCTGGGGGGAAGCACGGCGAGTTCGGTCACGGCTGGGGCTGGGGCCCCAGAGGGGCTCCAAACCCTCCGAACGCCGCGGCAGGCCGACCACGCCTCCTGGCGCGCACGCAGACGTGATTCTGCGACCTGCGGAAATCTCGGCCGCGGGCCTGGGGGGCAAGTCAGAGTGGGCGGGCCCTCTCCGAAGGCCTGGAAGGCCGCTGGCACTCTGAGAAGGCCCGCCCCCTCTCGCGTGCCCCCCGGCGCGCCGCCGAGAAACGTCGACCAGAACCCCACGGAACGGACCCTCACAGGGGCACGTTCCCCAGGCTGGAGCCGGGAGCCTCTCCGGAGCCCAGGAGTGGCCCCCCCTCTCTCGGCACGTCGGCTGCGCCTGCGCGATAGCAGGCTCGCCCAGGCCGCCCGCGGGTGCAGGTCGTCGCCCAGCACCCCCTCCCCCCCGCGACCAGCCGCCGACCAGGAACGACGCTAAGCCCCGCCTTCCCTGCCAGAAACCAATGCAAGGCGCACGTGGCGGCAACATCTGGACCACGAGCGGGCACCCCTCAGTCATGTTGCACTGGCGTTTCACAATACAGCCGAAACGCTGCCATAAGGAAATTCAGATGAAGAACGAAGCCCCTTTTTTCCATACATCAAACTTCGACTTCCCATAGAAAACGGAAGGACAACCTGAGAAAAGGCTGTGAACCAATTAAGGAACACTGAGCCCCTCCCCAACGAAAAGGGTTCCTTTTTCAGCGGCCGACTGTGATTGCGGGGAGGGAGTCTTGCTTATCCGACAAGCGCTCGCCCACTACCAAAACCAAATCTCTTTCAAACTGAGTGCGGGTGCGCGGGTGCACACACCATATGCCATGCAGGCCACTCCGCCGCTACTCCGCACTGTCGTTTGACAGGGACGGCGGGGGGGTCCACATCAGATTGGCCGATGTGCGCCGACATGTGCACTTTGGCACCCGTCACCGGCTGCGTGAACTGTTCTGGGCACAGGTGTACTTGTCCCCGCTTGGCGCACTTTGCGCGCGTCGCGCACGTGGCGCATCTGGCACGGCTGGGGCACGCGACACACCTGGATCACGTGGCGCACCTCACACGGCAGGCGCGCCGAGCACGCTTGAACCGGCGGCGACGATAGGGGCGAATAGCCCAGGGGCGGGCATGACACGTACTCGCCCGGGAGCCGATTCGAAGACATAGATCATCGGCGCACCTGAATACATGTACTGCCTGCTCTCCCCATTGGCTATTCGCCCCTATCGTCGCCTCTGACGCTTGGCCCCCTGGGTGCACCCGGCGCACATGGCGAGCGGAGGGGGGGGGGGGGGGGGCACTCCACGAGCACCGCGCACCTGGCGTCTGCCTCAGTTCCCGATGGCTGCCCATCCGATGGCGGCCTCTGCCTATGCCGAGCCAAGGGTGCTAATCTGGGGGGGCAACGACAAAGGGGGGGACTGGCATGGGGGGGGATGCATCGACCTGGAATCGGCGATACATCGCCCATAGATCGGCGATTGGGCAGGTCCCTTCCTGGGCAGGTTGGGGCTATCGGGCCCCTATCGGCGATGAATAGGCGATTGGGGGTCGATGCATTCCCCCCTATGCCTGCCTCCCCCTCGATCGTTGCCCCTGATACTTACATGGTGGGAGAGCGGGTGCGTGGGAGAGAGCGAGACAGCTAGTGGCGCTCCCGTTCGGAACCTGGCCCTTCTACCTACCTCCATCCCCTGGGTCTGGACGGGGGCGGTCGCGAGGGGTGAAAAAGTCCAATGTGGCACGAGATGGCTCGAAGGCGGCGGCCTTAGTCAGCCCAAGATGGCCTCCAGTGTGGCACATGACAGCCCAGGATGGTTCAAGACGGCTTCCAGCACGCCTCCACGAGGCCCTAGGGCGGCCCCAAGACGGCTCCAAGTGGCCTCGGCGCAGCTGGGGCCTCGAAGTCTCAAAAGATTCCCAAGAGAGCTCCAAGATGAAGCCGGGAGGCCTCCGATAAGCTCCCAGAGATGTTTGAGCTTACCATTCTTGGCCTCTCTGCTCCACCACATTTTGAAGCGCGCAGAGGGTTCGATAACAAAGGGGCCGAGAGCAAACTCAATGCAATCGCTTGGGTCTGAAATGGTTGCAGTGCAACCGTTTGTGGCTTAAACGGTTGCAGCGCAATCGTTTTTCGCATGAACGGTTGCAATATATTCGCTTGTCACTCAAAGGGTTGCAACTCAATGGTTCGTGCAATGCGAATGTCCAGTTAGTTTTGGCAAGTAGTTACCATCTCGCAACCGATCGGGATCTTCAGGGGTATTCCTTTTGCGAAGCACTCGACAGAAGGCGCAAACCACTGCTTTACAATCGTTTGCGGCTCGGTTCCGACGTGCAAGGAATTGTATTGCAATCGCAAGCTTAACCAAACACATGACTGCCGCACGCACATCCATGCAGGACAAACAAACTCGCGGTTGATGTTGCAAAAGCCCAGATGCAACTCACTGTCGGGCTTTCCGGCCCTTTTACCAAAACCCTCCTGCGCTCTTCAGGCACCTTCTTCTCGGCTCCCCTTCTTCCGACAACCCGCCCGGACATCGCGTCCGGATGGGCTCATGGGGATGCAACAGACAACGTCAGCAGTGTGATGTGCACACTGGGGCCACTGCGAGTAGGAAGGGGAACCGGAGGGAGGAGGGAGAGAGGGAGGAGGAGGAGGGAGGGAGGAGAGAGGAGGAGGGCCGAGGGAGGAGGGAGGAGGGAGGAGGGAGGAGGAGGAGGAGGGAGGAGGAAGAGAGGGAGAAGGGAGGAGGGAGAGGGAGAAGAGAGGAGGAAGGAGGAGGGAGAGGAGGAGAAGGCCGAGCGTGCCCATAGGGGAGGCCTCCGAACGACGACGGTCGAGCGCCGAGCCCGCCGCCGGGGGCCGCCACGGCCAACGGCTGCGAGCCGAGGCGCCGCGCGGGCAGCGCCGCCCGCGCCAGCAGCATCGAGATGGCATGAACGGCACGATGGGCCCGCTGCACGGTGGGCGTGGAAATCACGCCACAACCACCGAAGCACCCCGAGGCTGAAGGAGGGAGGAGGGAGGAGGGAGGAGGGAGGAGGGTCACAGTCGGAGCGCTGCCCCAAGGAGCCCTAAGTAAGGAACGAGGCCCCTTTTCTCCAGAAGTTGAACTTCGATTCCCCTTCGGAAACCCAAGGAAAACCCAAGGCAAACTGTGAAGCAATCAAGGAACATGGAGCCCCTCCCCAACGAAAAGGGTTCCTTCGTAAGGGCACCGACTGTAGGATGGTGAGGAGGAGAAGGACAAGGACGAGGACGAGGACGGCGAGAGTTCGGCCCGCGGCCCAGCTCTCGCGGCTTCGGCCCCTCGGAGGAGATGTCGGTGAGCATGTCGCGGATCTTGCTCTCCTGCCCGTCCATGTAATACTCCTCTATGTATGTTTCTCCCATCGAACTTGAGGACCACATCCCAGAACTAATCTCGAGCACCCGGAAAAGTGTCGAAAAGATGTCGAAGCAGTGTCGAAGCAGTGTCGAAACAGTGTCGAACGAGTGTCTCCCAGGGCCCGACACGTCAAATCCCTCGAGTTTCGGTTCTCATGTGGTGCTCGAAATTATTCCTGGTGGTCCAGGCTGAAGTAGGTAGGAGCATCATAATCCTTTAGGAAGTTCAAGAGCAGGGCCACGAGCTCCGTCGAGTAGGT